CCCCGTAATCGGCAAGCCTGGATAGATCATAAAGATACTATACATACTTAGGGCGTACCAAAAGTTCGTGTCCCGCTATTTAAAGGGCCTCGTCGGATGGGGTGAACCGATTCAGAAATAAGAAACAAACATATCATCTTGTAGAGCTTTTCGAGCCGGATAGAATGGTATATAGTAAATCGTGTTTTCATAGAACTTTGAAGAACCTAGAGTCAATTTGCTGATAGATGGCTACACATTCACATCCATCCATATCGACATCCATACCCGAGGATCATAAGTTAATGATTATTGTGGTTCTTGTTATTAATTGAAAGCATTTGTAAAATATTGTTTCTCGCATGCGACTTTGTAGAGGTTTTGACGGGCTACAACCTCATATACGTACCATCTCCGGTCATCTGGTGAATGTAGACGTGAGTGTGGATGGGTGTGAATGTGTAGTTGTCCATCAGTAAATTGCTTCTAGGTCCTTCAAAGTTCTATGAAAACAGAATTTACTATATACCATTCGATGCGACTCGAAAAGCTCTACAAGATGATATATTTGTTTCTTATTTCTGAATCGGTTCACCCATCCGATGAGGCCCTTTAAATAGCGGGACACGAACTTTTGGTACGCCCTAAGTATACTTCTTATTTGTAATAAAACAACAAATTAAGTTATTTCCTTCTATTTTATATAGAGAATATAAGTGACAATTATGGCAACTGCAACAGTCTCATCACATGCAACTCATTCATTCAAAAATGCTATTGCTCTTATTACTGGAGCCAATAAAGTCTTTGAAAAAAAAACTAGAAAATTTGATTTAATTATATTATCAATATCTTTATAGGGTATTGGCTTTGAAACAGCACGTCAATTAGGCAAACAACGTATTATTGTATTAATTGCTGCTCGAGATAAAGTACGTGGTGAAGAAGCAGTCAAAAAATTAAAACAAGAAAAAATTAATGCAAAATTTATACATCTTGATGTTACTAATCAAGAATTAATTAAAAAAGCAGCTGAACAAATACAACAAGAATATGGAAAACTTGATATATTAATTAATAATGCAGCTGTACATATAGAAGGTGAACCACCATCGAAAACAACTATGGAAAAACTTCGTCAAACATTTGAAACAAATTTTTTTGGTGTTTTTGCTGTAACTCAAGCTTTTATACCATTATTACAAAAATCTACTGTTGGTGGTCGAATTGTTAATGTATCAAGTCAATTAGCTTCATTTGGTAATAATTTAGCTGATCGTAATAAACTTGCATATTCAACATCTAAAACAGCATTAAATATGATGACATATCAATTTGCTAAAGAATTTGCAAATAATAGATCTACTATTAAAATAAATAGTGTAGATCCAGGTAATAAAAAAAAACAATATAATCACATATATTATTATATGAAACATATCATTTAGGTTCAACTCAAACTGATATGACTGGTAACAATGCTAAATTTGGTCCTGTTCAAGTTGCTGCTGATCCTATTGTTTATTTTGCTACTCTACCTTCTGATGGACCTTCTGGTCAGTTTTTTGATCCAAAAAAACAACCACATCCATGGTAGAATCAATTAATATCTGACATTAATATTTAAGTATTTTTTCTTGTATGTAAAATGATTTCTATTTAAAAAATAGTTAAATAAATAAAATTATCTTTACATATTTATCTATTCAATTCTTAATTCATACAAAGAAATTTCATTGATATAAATTTATTTTAACAATGAAATTTGATTAATACTTTCATTTTGTTTTGCAATAAAACAAGAAAGAAAAAAAATAACGAAATGAGAGCAGAAAAATAGAATATTAAGAAAAAAAAAATCTAAAGAAACAAGTATATTATTTATGTTTATTATTGACATAATCGGTTGTCTAAATAATTTTCTTATCAATATTTCTGTAGTTATTCATTCGTTTTACTATGTTGAATATTATTGAATATAATAATAAACAGAAGAATTTGTTTATTATTGTATTGAATAAAATTAAAAAAAAAATACTTATTAAAATTTTTATAAAAATGATAATACATTATTGTCATAGTCATCATTTTTAAATTTTTGTTTCGAAATTGAATCATAAAAATAGATCTCTGCAAAGAATTTTCTAATGAAGCTCATAGATATCATCTATATGAAGATATCATGCGTTTTTTCGATGATTTATAGATTTTTTTTTCTTATTCTAAATCAAGATAGTAAGTAAGAAATTTCTTCATTTCTATTTATCTATGTTATATTTATCCATACTCTTGTTTTATTCAAATTAGAACCTTTTAAAGCTATCATGTCTTATTTCATCATTAATAATTTACTTTATATGAATAATCATAGCTAGACGCATATTATTGTCTTTTACAGTTATCTAAGTAGAAAAACAATGTAAATAATTGATATTCTAATATGAGATCGAAATTGAGCTGTGAATTTAATGAATATGTATATCATTCTTATATCAATTTATATCCATTATCATTTCATTCTTAAATTAATTCAATAATGAAGAGGGTGTGGGGTGTGGGTGTGGGTGTGGGGTGTGGGTATGGGTGTGGGGTGTGGGTGTGGGTGTGGGTGTGGGTGTGGGTGCGGATGTGAGTCTGTGTGGGTGTTGGTGTGAGTGGAGTGTGGGTGTGGGTGTGGATATGCGAGTATCTCTTCTCTTTATTTGTCCACCCATCCACCTCCCACACCATACTTTGAGTTAGGGTGAGTGAGGCTCCAGTTGTCGGAAGTTTGGCTGTTGACTTTGTCGGTGTGAGTATGAAAGAGTAAATCCCTACTCATAATTGCCTGTCAAACATCTACGTCGAGACGTAGTTGTACTGTGAGCGTTGCTTTTCGATTATTTGTTCATGTCTTTTGGTTTCAAAGTGTAATCTTGCTGATGTCAGCGAAGTACATGTATGGTTTTGGTATTTCGTATGTATTGCTGCAACCGTAGTTTTGAGGCCAGCCTAGGCTCTCTGAATGGCATCGCCATCTGACTCTTGAGTCAGATTCTAGAGTTTTGATACTTTGCCTGCGTGCTATTCTATGTGTCGTCGATGATCAAGCCAATGATCTTCGCGTCACATCACTAGCTGATCACTTCATGAAAACTGTTTACTGATTGACTCGACTATTTATCGAATTTAATTTTCGCTAATTACTTGTAAAAATTTGAAAGCGATCGAAAACTGGGACTTAGGGTCTAGTTTCTGTAATCATACAAATTGAATAAAAATGAAGCTCTAATGTAAAAATAAAAGTTTTGAGGTCATTAGTATTCTCTTTTGTGACGATTTTTTTCTTCATTGGATAATGCAGAGACTTTTTCATCGATCTAATCTTATCTGAAGGTTATAGATGAAGATCGTATCTTTTTCCATATTAAGCTTGTAAAAAAAAGTCTCTGAAAGAAGTTTCTGTATGCATTCGCTACTTGTAAGGTGATTGTAATTGAGGTCGTCATTAACACAAGACAGTATAGATGATTTTAGAGCGGCAACATCAAATGCTATATTTTGATTCTTCTACTAGAGACAAATCCTACGCACCAATGTTAAATTGATGTGCATATTACTAGTTGACTTTCCGAATTTTCACATGGAACTAATACTAAATCTTATGAAAAACAAAATACAATTTAGAATATTTGGATCAAGACCAAGTGTGTTTTGAAAAATAAACCAAAACGAAGTTGTATTTGAATTCTTTATATTTTTGACAATATAGTCTACTGCAAACAAGAAATTCGATAATATTCGTCTTTCTTCAGAAATCCACACGTTTACACACATTTGTTTGAATTGCACAAAAAAAAACTAAAAGAAAACACGACAATTATTGACGTGTAAGTGAAAAACACACACAAAATGCCGTACAAAACAAAAAAAGCAAAAAATTGACTAGTTCGATCGAGTCTAATATAAAAAACCAAAATGTATTTAAACATCCATCTTTTCTTCTTCGGCAAGACGAACAACACTTGATATCGGTACATTATATTTATATGATAAATAAGGCGGTCGAAATGTATTCATTAATGGTGGTGGAAGTGGTGATGATGATGAATCTGTACCACTACTTGTATATGTTGTTGCTGTTGAAATTGATAATGATAATGGTCGACCAGGCATTATTTGTTGCTGTTTTAATAAACAAATAGATTCATAACCGCTATCTCGAGGAGGTTTTGCTAAATATAAAAAGAAAAAGGAAAGTCATTTAAATAGACGAAAAATTAATGAAATATTTACGTGGTGGAATGATAACAGAAGGCATTGATGAAATATAAGGCGATGGTGGATAACTATTACGAACTATTCGTGAAAAATTTTGATGATCGGATAATGGACGCATAACTGAATTCTAAGAAAAAAAACGATGAACATAAAAAAGATAGTTCTGTCAATGTTAAAATAATATTTAACCTTATTTATTATTCGTATTTGTTTATTCATTGAATCCGATGATTCACATGATGTTTGATCACTACTATTTAAATTAACAAGTCTTTCACGTTCTTCTGATGTTCTATCATCATTATCATCTAATTTACTACTACAACCACTTTCATCATGTATAAATGGAGATTTACTATGTACTGTATCATATAAATTGTATTGTTTTGAACAATGATAAGTTTTTTTCTGTTTTCGATTTTTTCGATAACCAAATATAACTATGTATAAACATAATGTTATACAAATTGTTATAATTATAATAAAAATAAATAGAAAAAGTGTAAATAAACCAATAACTAAATATGAATAATGATCAAATATTGATAATGGCCATTGAATATTTTTATTATTATTTTTAAATGATATATTTAACAAAGACATATTTTCATATTCAATTAAATTATCTAAAATATTCATTATTGCTGTTGATATATAACAATGATGAGTTGAATTTAATCGATTTGGTTTTCCATGATCGATAGCCATTATAAGTAAATGATAATATGATGATTGATTTAAAATTTCTAAATTAAATACTTGTCCTTGATCATTAATAACAAATGAATTATTATATGGTGGTAGTATTAAATAAGATAAACGACCATTATCACCTATATCTAAATCTGTTGCATGAACTTGAAATAATGGTTGATTAGCATCTAGAATAAAGTTCAATTTAATAATCAAAAATTAATTTCCTATTTAAACATCTTGTAAGTAAAAATCTTTCCCATGACACAAACTATAGAGGAATCTGATGTAGTTGACGTATAAAAATGTGATATCTCTTGTCTAAGATCTTGAGATGTTGAGTAAGAACTTGACTTCATGATACTTGATGAAGATTAATTTACTACTGCTTAAAACTAAATTATGCCGAATAGTTTAAAGAAACATGATCTTCATTCAAGGATGCTCATAAGGCTGACAATTTTGAACGTTTTTTGAATTGATGATTAGCCTCCAGAAGTGTCCACAGGGTGATTTTTCGCACTCTGCCCTGTCCTGTCCACACCACCCACATCCTCACTCTGCTCTACCCTGTTGATAAAAAGAAGCATAGGAGAAAGAGCGAGTCCTATGCCTTGCTCCAGAAAAGAGAGAGAAAGACAGATTATCCTACAAAATTGATATACTGTCTCGATTGTGTTTCTCAATCGATTTTAAAGGCAATCAGATTCGTGAATTGTATCGAAAAGCATTGTTTTGTTTAAAGATATTTTACAATAAGACCAACTCCAGTTCAACTGAAAAAATATATCAATATCACCAAAGGATAAGATAAGTAAGGGATGAGGATAGGGATGTGGATTCAAATCCATTTTTATTTTTAACGGTTACTTATACAGAAGTACACTGTCCAGGCGCCGATACTTTTGTTGAATTATTATTTTCAAGACGAGAAAATTTTTCATCTTTGTTTGAAAAGAAATAAATTGTTTGTTGAGAAGTTTAACAATTTTAAGAAGATCGTGATGATTCATTAAAATAATCAGGGAAATATTTGTTTGTTCGATACACCAACACTAAGATCAGCACTAGACAACATGCAAATTTCATGATCAAATCAAATCCCACGAAATGTGTCATTTAATTTTTTATTTTAATATAGGAAATCACAAGGATAAGTATAACCACAAATTTTCGAGGATCATTTTATTTATTTCTTATTTCTACCAAATTCATTCGAATGTACGTCTATAGATGAAGACATGAATACATCTGGTGTCGTTCTCTGCAATATGTTTTCGATTTTTGAATTTGAACGGCTCAAAAACCGCTTTTTTTCTCGAGATGGAAATGTCAAAGTTTGAAGTTCAAATTTGCAGGGTATGAAGACTCATCCTGCCCTGCTCAGGACAGGGCAGGGCAGGGTTACTCTGTCCTGTGGACACCTCTGTTAGCCTCTAACTTGACTTGTTGTGTATGCAACGAAAGTCTGACTTTAGATTCATATTCAGCGTCAAGTTTTACATTAGATACGTTATTTAAAAAGTATTTATAGTCACACATAAATGGATCCTAGTGATTGTTTTGCTACTCTGCGTGTTTTCAGTCATGATCTTACAAATCTGTATATTGTATCTTGAGCAAGATCTTGCTTACAAAATGTTTCAATAGAAAAATCTTTATCATTAACTAACCTAAAGATTCATTTTCTGATGGATTTATTTGTATATTACAATTTATTGATTGGTTAAATACTGGTGGAGAATCATTTTCATCAATAATAATTATTTTATATTCTAATCGAAGAATTTTTGATGGTTGTCCATGATCTTGTATAATTAAAATAAATTTATCTATTTGTATATGAATATTTTCACGATCAATTAAACGTTCAATAATAAGTAAAAATGATTTTTGATCAATCATTCGTATGCCAATAAAATCATATCCATGTTCAATTCGATATGACATTTCACCATTTAAACCTGAATCTTGATCTGATATAGAAATATGTGCTAAAATTTGTCCTATTGGAGTATTTTCACGTATAGATATTATTGAATCATTTATAAGAGGTTCAACAAATGTTATAAATGCTTGTGGACGATTATCATTTTCATCAGTAATAAAAATATCAATAGTAGCAAAATGTGCAATAGAATTTTCACCTAAATCACGAACTTGAATTATTAAACGATATGATTGTTCAGATTCGTAATCAAATGGATTGACTAATGTCAAACTAAATCAAGAAATAAACTTTGTTTATTTGAAAAAAAAAACTCTTTCTTTCTTTCTTTCTTACATTCCAGTTGAATCACTCATACGAAAATAGTCCATCCAACTAGATGATGGAAGACCATTACTTATCGAATAATGAATCTATTGAAACATGAAAATTAGACTAGATAAATCTATTGAAAACAAAAAGAATATTTGTATTACTTTTCCATTTAATCCAATATCTTTATCTGTTGCATTAATACGTGTTAGTTCAGTTCCAACAGGTGTATTTTCACTTATATTAAGACGAATATATGTCTCAGTTAGAACAACGGAATTATCATTCATATCCTAATCAATAAATATAAATTTAAAAATTCAATTTCAGTTTTATCAAATATGCTTACATCGATTGTAATATATAATATTGTTGAACTTTGTCTTTTTATTTGACCATTATCAAAAGCAATCAATTCATATTCATAATGATCTCGTTCTTCTCGATCGATTTCTTTGATGACTTTTAATGTTAAACCACCATTAATCTTTGTCACAATATCAAATGGTCCATCATTATTTTTCTCATATAAATATTTAAGCTCATAATTAATACGACTATTTTCATTTAAATCAGCATCATGTGCTTGTTCTAAATTTATTTCATATCCAATAGGAACATTTTCCATTAAATTAAATTGATAAATTTTTGATGAAAATGTTGGTATATGATCATTGATATCATCTATATTTAATATAAGTTGTAAAAGACGATATGGTATTTGCCATTCAATTAATTCAATTGTTAATTGACATTGTGTACATGAACATATACGTTGAGAACATAGATATTCTCGATCAAGTGAACGTGCAAGTAATAGATGACCATTTAATGAATCATAACGTACAAATGAATTATGGTTTCTACCTGTATCAAATAAACGATAAGTTATTGTATTATTTGTTGTAAATAATATTGTTGATAATGGTAATTCTTCATCAACACGTATATATATTATTGATTGTTGTTGATTTTTACAAAATACATTTGATATGATAAATAAAAAGACTATATAAAACATTATCTAAAATTTAAGCAGATGTATTAGATATAGTTTTACTCATTAATCTGTCACAATTATGTATACTTTCTACTTCACAAGTAGTTTTCTCCGACAAATTATCACCTTCTTTTTTTTTCTTCATCATCGAATAACTATATTTGACAATTAGACATATAACAATGTTCATTTGAGAATATAGACAGGTGCGTATGTGTGTGTGTGTGTGTGTGTGTGCAGATGTATTTCAAAATTCAGGATATACGCCCAAGAAAAATAGAAAGAGAAAGTTCCGGAGTTAGTCTATACAAGACGAAAATTACATCGTCCCATTTTGATCTAATCATGTGAACGAGATTGTGTTCACTGTCAATTCTCATCTTATTGAGGAAATGAGATGGAAGATGAACGCGATGGACCGAATGGAAAATGTATGTAGACATTTGCGCCCAATGGCTACTATTTGTTTTGACTTACATTGCCTCGATTTATGAAATAAAACAATGAACAATGAGAAAAGATGGAAAAAAAAACCTTGGCTGACAAATATAAGAAAAAAGAGCATATGGTACAAACAAATTAGAAAATAACGATAGGAAAGAATTATTGAACTTACAATTGGCTCCAGCTTGAGGCCATGTTCCTTGATCATGAACTACTACTATTAATATGTTGTCCTCGTCTATTTCTGCTCGAATGAATCAGACAATAAACTGTTATAGATGATCATAAAATTATTTCAACCAGCAATGATTTGATGATCATTTCAATCTTCTATTTCAATAAAAGATAGAAAGAACATTGGTTTTTCTTTTGTTGTTAATGAAATATTTCCCAAAAAGAAAAAAGTAAAAAATAAATAATGTTCATCTGGCATTACTCTGTTCAGTAAATAAAAGTTCAACAGAATCTAGAGGCTTTCTTTTTTTTTTCGATAGATCAATATCTTACTTTTTCTTCAATGTCTAGACACACATATACATCGATTCTCATTGCTGTGCTTACTTTACCTTAGGAAGATAACAATACATATATTGTTATTTCTTTTCTTTCTAATTGTTAACTACTCGTTCTCTCTCTCTCATACTCACAAGCACTGATATTGTCGACAACTTGAATCAATGGAGAATTTTTGACTCTTGATGACTGTACAATAATATTGAAAATGATCGAATGAATGAATGTTGGTCGGACGGATGTTGCCCGTTTCTCTTCTAAGTGTTATGAATGTAAACAGTTGAGTGGTAACTGCCCATTTAAATTCACATTGTGATGACGGGACACATACTTATATACGCGTGTGCGTCCGCAATCGATTGAATGTCTCGAATGATTGAATTTTCGTATCTTTTTTTTTTTTCTTCATCAATAGAAATATCGGAAAGAATAGAAATGATGGGAGGAGATCTGTTGAAGTGTTATTTGCGATTCAGTTCGAAGGTCGTATTGATGAAATGATTTGACGGAAACACGCATACACACATTTTGTATACTAATGAAAAGATGTGATTAGCTATAGTAATATGGTCTTCATCATCGATTTCTATAGTCATCGATTTGTCTTAAAGTTATTGTAATGATGTTTGACCATGTTACTATCTATCTGTCTGAAGATGCTATTGAGATAAACAGTCTATTATAATTAGTTAATAAATAATTACTAACACAAGCTATGAGAGAAGAACACTAAAAAGATTGTTCTCTTTTCTATTTTTTAATAAAAACAATATGGATATTTTTCTCAATAAAATCTCTTTCCGGTCGTGTGTCAATATATATTAATGACAATACCTATATAGATGATGGTTCTAATACTTGACCCTATCTGGAATGAGTAACAGCTGCCATTCTCTCGCATTCACACACATGTATACATTGTCATATGTACAGACACAGTATACAAGCAATAGAAGAACTAGAGAAAGAATACTTATGTCATTCATTCACTTATTCACTCAAGCCTTGCGTATACACTAACACTTGTTGTTTATTCAATCCATTAGTGTGAAGACATAAAGTCGTCTTGGTCGAGATGTTTTTGCGTGACTCTATCTTATCCACTATGTACTTGTGGTTCGTTTTTTTTTCTTCTTTACTCATTTGACTTACTTATGGGACTTACTTGTTGATTTTTAATTAGAAAGAAACAGATTGGATGAGAATTACTGATAAAAATCTCTGACACACATGCACATATTGAATATTGACAAAGATCGTCAATTCCATGCGTGTGTGTATGTGATTCGGTTACATCATTTTCTGCAAAAGAGAGAATGAGAGTCAGTACTCGGTCCTTTCTCTTTTTTTATGATTATTTGATGAACGGACAACGGCAATAGCAACAGCCGTCGACAGAGGAAAAAAAGTGGCGCATACATAGGCAAAGCAGGAAGGAAGTCTTTAAGTAGAACTAAGAGGGAGAGAAGCGAGAGAAGGAAGACGGATCAATCATGAAAAAAACAAAGCAAAAAAGAATAAAAAAAGTGTTCAATCATTGGAAAAAAAATACGAAAAAGCTAAAAAAGAATACTAATCAATACAGCATGATGTTTATCTAAATATAATGAATTGTTTTTTTCTGATCACATAGATAAATAGAACACCTTTTCTTTTGTAAGATTTCACATGATGATGATATTTCTTTGTGAGCTTATATTACATAAAGAAAAGAGATTGACATCAATAGTCTTCAAAATGAGAAAAGAGATCGAAAGAAAGAACAAAAAAGAAAGTATACTCTCAAGAAGGACAATGAGTGTCAAGTATGAAATGAAACTTAGTGAGAAAAAATGCAGACGATTTTCTCAAAGATCATTGTATACATACGTACGGCTTGAAAATGACTTCTATTGTTCATTGAGTAAAGATAATGAAAAGTTTTTTTTTTTGCTATATAAGCGACACGTTCTATTCATCTTTTGTTCTTTCATTCAATTTTCAACTTCTAAATGATGACTTTGCATCATCTAGCATCACGTTTTTCCATCTGTCTCATACATTTGTTGCTGTCGTTACTCATTAGTTGGTCAGATTTTTTGCTACTGGACGTGCTTACCAACCTAATTGATGTCAAAAATGGAAGAAGAATAAGAAAGAGACTTATTTCTATAATCACAAGTGACACGGGTTGTCGCGCGCGCTTTCGCCGTTCGTCTAGCATTAAGCATGACACACGACGAGATAAAATATTAATCAGCTAAATTGCACAATCATGACTGTCTTTCTCTCTCATAAAATTCTATTCAATATTCAATCGATATTGAAGACTATTGGGAGATAATTAGGCTTTTCTCTAGAACGCCTTTTAAGATTATACTTGAATAAAGAAGAAAACGAAAAAAAATCACCTTTCCATTATGTCTTTGTGTGTACATATGACTAATGCATCGATTATGCAAGTGAATAATTTTGACATAGACATAAGATTGGTTTAGAAGAAAAAGAGAATTCTAAGAATAAACAATTTTCTTGTCGACAATGACACAAGTGATTTGTGTTACACAGCAGATGTCTTTTATAAGCTTTATATAGAGACACAAGTAGCAGATTTATATATATATGTATAATAAGTATATCACTTGATGTTTCTCGTTCACTTAATTCAGTAAAAAAAAACGATGAAGAAAGAATGTAATCTTTGTGCAGAATGCACACAATTATACACTCAAATTTCACTCTGGTATTCATTGAACAAAAGGTAATAGGTGAAAAAGAATATATGTGCATGGTCGCGTGCTCTTCTCACTTTACTTTTCATAATATATATTGGAACAAAAAAAAAAACTACGAATAGGATGAATGTTCATTTATAATGATGAGATGTTGTATGCAGTACAAAAAAGAAAAAATTCGACACGAGAAATGGAATAAAAGACAATTACAAGATGTATCTAGCCTAAGTCGACATATACCATCATAATAAAACAAAGTAAAGAAGAAGAAAAAAAAAAAGAAACATTAACATAAATTTTCCGGACATAAATATTAGAACAATACACAGTCAACGTGATAATCAATCGATAAAATGGCATTGACAGTCTTTGTATTTCTCATCTAAGAGCTATTCCAATAAATTGCAACACACAAATCTCTCACCTTAAGTTAATGACCTCCGTATGTCATGTTCGTTGACATATATGTACACATGCACTCAAAAAATTGGGTTATGAAAGAATCGATCCATAATTCATTGTGCATATGCATATACATACTATCATGCTAAGTCAATTATCCGTAGTAATACTAGTAGAATGCACAGGCTGTTCTATTCATCAGCATTCCATATTCTATTCTTACATCATGATGACCAGCGAGGTGATACGTCAAGGATATTAATACTCACACTAATCATAAATTCATTCCAGCAAAAGAGTGTTACATTTCACATTGATGAGATATACTGATGCAACAAATACTTACCTTGAGCTTTGACAAGATTCATTCTTCTGAAAGAAAAATTTTATCGATTTATTAATTACCCAGTCATCATTTGAAGAGCAAGTGTGTATATGTATTTACATTGTAGAATTGACACACTGTGTTTTTGATGTATGCCGTTGATCGACATCGATTAATTGATAGAGAAAAACGATTTGCAATCGACCGCATACTGTGAACAAGAGTATAAGCAATGATGATAATGAATGGCAGTGTGTATGTTTGTTTACGGTACTAGCCTATCATCGTTCATTGTGTTACACATACGCATCTGCGCGGTCAAAAGGAATAATTTGTATGTTCTAGTGTCGGTCAGTTCGCTTTTTTTTTAGTTTAAAGGCATATACACATATAAAAAAAATTCTCTTTGAAGAAAATAAAAGAGAGAGAGAGAGAGCGAGCCTGAAAGAATGGGAATGCGTGTTGGAAGCAGATGGACAAATGAGAATGAACAAAAAGGATCGATAAGCGATGCAGTGACCGTAGCACGACATGACAGACACTTTTTAGTTATTCATCATGAGTGACAACTCCCTGGTACCATTATCATCATTGCTATCATTATCAACATGGGATTTCAAGGACATGAGAAAAAAAAGAGATAGACAACGTCATATAAAACAATAGAGATCAAATGAATAGATGTCCGAAATTCATTAGGGACATTTTTACAAACAGATTTGACGGCAAAAATATTTTGAAGATGTATACAAATCGCATAGGAATATTTTGATGTATGCATTCGCTATTTTTATATTTTGAATTTATAATTTTAAAAAAGTTTTTCATAAAGAAAAAAAGACAATAAATGAGCAACTACTAGTTAATTTAATAGTATATGTCTTTACGAATAAGTGCAATAGCAATAATCTCATTCTTAAAAATCATCGATGAATTGTATGAGAAATTCTCTAATGATGATTTGCGCATGTCTATGCCTTTGAGGCATTGTAAAAAATTCTATCCACTATCATCACTTATTATTGATCTTCTTTTGCTCTCTTAACACACATAACAGTAATTAATTTGCTTGTTCTTTTTTTTTTTTTCTTGACTCGTTTTCTTTTTATGATATCTTTTGAAAGACTCATCTGCTAATACTTATCTCTTTTCTTCGTCTTTTTTACTTGATGTATGTGTCGAACAAGTCGGTCGATGAACAATGACGATGACGATCGCACACATCAAACATTGTACTTCTTATCATATGCTCATGTCCGTACCCAAGCAAGATTAACAGACACAAAGTACATATACAGACACTTCATGTGTTAAGAGAGAAAGAGAATAGTAATATTGCCTCACATTGAACAGATTATGTCGATGATTATAGTACTATTGTTGTGATGAACTGAACAGAAAGAATTAGCCAAATGTATAGATATGAATGAAATAAAGTCTGTTTTTTATTAACTTTCTGTAAATACAATAGCAAGTGATGAATGATCAATTTGAAAAATTGAACAATAAATTGTGAATTGAATACCATCTAAAAAGTTTAATTACTCATACATATGTATTCTCATATAGAGAATAGTCGGATCAAATAATAACATTTGAAATAAATTTTGATCATAAATGACCTTTTATTATATTTTATATAAAAAATTTTTTGTTTCAAATATTTATGATAAATGAAAGGCATGGACATGATGTTGATTAGATGAACAGAAAGATAACTATAGTTTAATATATTTTCAGATTTTTGTCGGGTGAAAATCGAAGTACCTTACGTTAATACGTTCAATTCAGTTGTGCTGCGTATTAAGTGGAATTCTTTTCTATATTCTTGTCATTGTCTATACATTGTCGTTTCCATGTATACATTAAAATTAATTAATTTTAGCCTTAGGATTGCTATTATAAAATGCCAACATCTATCTTGTGTTCAATGAATTAGTTTTCAGTGCATAAGTCAAATAATTTCTTGCAGTCACTTTTGATTTTTTTTCTCCATATACGATTGACTTTTATTATAAAATTTTATTCATTTAAGTATCACTTTTTTCTTGTTCATATATATATATGAGTAGCAAGACATTTGTGAAAGAAATCAATTGTACAAATAGTGATTTCAATATAATTAAATCATAAAAAAAATATCGCTTAATTGGAAGTGTGATATTGAATAAATAAAAAATTTTACGGATTAACTCATAAAAAAAATGCATACACAAAACATAATGTTGTTGTGTATAGATTTCATCATTTGATTCAGAAATTTTTATTTTTTCTTCAAGATTACAAATATATTTTGTGTTCTTTGTCTTTCCATCTTTTGTGACATTTGAAGAAACTATAAAATTAATCTTTTAGAAAACAGTATGTAACAAAAAACAAACAAAACGTAATTATTATATAAGAGATTTTATGGTAAAAACAGATAATATTAATTCATTGAAGCCATATGTGAATTTGTCGTTGTTTTTTATAGCAACGATATTGTTTTGATAATTCTTGTATCCATTCAGAAAATAAATCAACAGTTGAATTTTCTTCTTCATTTTCGCTTTCGTCATCAGTCTCCTCAAAAACATTATCATTTGCAGTTATTCGAAATATAACACTAAGAAGATCAGCTTTTAGTTGATCAAGAACATATTGACAACTATCAATATTATCTACTGGAATAATCAAATGTTGAATTCGAGGAAACATAGAACAAAATGGTTCAATATTGACAGTTTTTTGATCTCCATAACTATTGGAATCAATAATGAACGAACGAAGACATTTTGTATGAGAAAATTTAGCAGCATTTAAAGCATCAAGAAGATTTGTACTAGTTTTTATTGATTTTATATTGGGCATCATGTCCAAGAATTTAATAAAATCAATAGTGGGCACAATCTCTTCTCTGGTTAATTCTTCAACAGTATTCAAATCTATAATTGCTTGTATATCACTAAGAAATGATTTTGATTTTGGCCATTTACCATAGAGAAATAAATTTGTAACACGAGAAAAATGAGGAAGAATAGCGTTCTACAAAGAATAAAATTTACAATTATAATATTTTATTTCGTTATCTAAAAATTTTTTGTTGTGTCTAACTTTTGTCTCATGAGACATTCCATTCCAATGATAATCTCCTTTTGAGCTTATATTTTTCTCATAGATAGGATTCATAGTATAGATAAAAATCTTGAAAGAGTTCGTGCTAGAAGGCGTTTATTCTCTACATATAATCATTTTACCAAAGTTTCAGTCTGAAATTTTGACCAACCGTACCTCTCATGGTTCTTAAGATATCCTAAAAGTTTCAGCTCAAGTATATATTTGTCTTCTGAGATAACACATACGTAAAAAAGCGTTACTTTCACACACGAGCTTCGAAAATATCCCAGTTTTTAGACATACTACATCTTAAGAAGAAGTCATTTGTTTGATCTGAAACTTTCAAAATATCATAAGAACCATGAGCTCTATTGTTGGCAAGAATATTTAGACTGAACTTTCTTATTGCGATTTCGCTCATGATAACCTACAATAGACTGAAAAATTCAGTACAATGACTATAACTCGAGAGGAAAGATCTAATAGTTCGAATCCTTTCAGAATTTTTATTTTACACTATAATTTCTACCTATGAGTAAAATATGAGCTCAAATGGAGATTATCAATCTGATGCATTTCCTCCTTCGTTAAATTTAAACTATAAACTTATAAATGATTAAATTATAAAAGAAAAAATAGATGTAAATTTCTTACTTCTACTTGAGATTTTACTATGCTCGATGTATCTATATGCAAGTCATGAACTTTGTTCATAGATTGAATTCGTAATATTGAATTTTCATTAGCAGTAGAACGATATTCAAATGACGATGAGAGACTTTTGACCACATAAAAATTGTTGAGATATGGCAATGTATAAAGCATAACTTCGTCGTCATACTTTTCCAATGACACATACCATTGTTTCTCTTCAGTCCAAAATGATGTATGAAATGTACTTATACATTCATCCGTATCCCATGCCGAAGAATCTGATATATAAACTGAAAGAACAAATTCAAATTTGTCCATATTCGATACAAGATTTGTCCATCGATCACCATCTAGAATTAATTCATCGTTATATCCACTCGAGGTATTCAAGCGGAATCGTTTCAACGTTGGCATTTCTTGTAGCATCCATTCAAGTTTTGACATATTCATTGAACAATCCTCAAGTGTCAATGATATCAAATAATTTGTCGATTCTAGAGATGCGAATTTTTCGCTTCTCGGTATTTGATGTTCATCATGATTTGGGTTTTCGTCATAATTTGGATGTTCCTCGTGATTGGGATTTTCATCGGCTTCTATTTCGAATTCTTCACTAGCAACACTGTTATCATCGTCTTCATGATTAGTTGGAGCACTGTTCAAATCAATTTCTTCATCAAAATTGAAATCATTTGCTTCAAATGTTTCTAATTGAGGTGCATAAACAAAAATATTTCGAACGAAACTAACACTACAATTGCCTTTAAATATCATATGTCTAAATGAACATTGTTCAAGCCAAGGTAATGGATTAGATGTGCCTCGACCATATGATAATTCGAAGTAGACTTTACGTAGTGATGGTTTAGCAAGAACAGACATAATCAATTCAACAAAAATATCACCGTAAGTTTCATCGGTATTAATTATTTTGATCGAAGAAAAATTTACTAATGATGTATGATCAGCAATAGAAATTAATATTTGGTTCATAAATTCTTCATTATCGATTTGTATAAGTGTTAAAGAACGAAGACGAACAAATTCATTCATAGTAAATCGTGAAAGAAATTTTTCCACTAATCCTGGACTATTTACATCATCTGATAATGTTAATTCGGTAACTTGTTCTGGACGAATACGAGAACAAATTAAATCAAAATTTTTTAATGATATGGTTTTTGAATTAAAATGATATTCATCATAAGTAGATAAAATACTATCGAATCGTTTACATACATGATACAATGATACAAAAATTGTTTCTATATCCAATTCATTTAATATTTTATAAATGATTTCCACTGGTAATTGATCATTAGTAGCCGGTAATACTGAATTTACGGTTGATTTAACTATCGATAGTATCGGTTTAACTTTTCCATTTTGGCAACCCATTGTTTTTTATTTTAAATAAAAGTAATGCACGCACGTGTTTACTTCCGTCGTTTTAGACCTCTTTTTTTCTCCTCTTGCATTGTTTGTCGATTGAGTAATGCAGAAAGAAAAGCTACGCTATTATAATTTGTTTTTACTCGTGTCCTGTTTTTGAGTGGTTGCTGTTAACGAAACACATCTCTATTTAAGTTGAAATTTACATATTCTCACTGATATATTCATCAAAATTCTGAAATTAAAAAATTAGATTTGAAATTTTATGAATCTGTATAAATATTGAATTGGTTTGACATACTTAATTACATGTTGACTGTTGTTAAATTTAAATCATCAAAATATATTAATTCGATTAGTTCTTGTAGAATGTTTCAAATAAGGCAAGATTAAATTTTCAAAGTTTATGCAAATTTTTAGAGATTAATTTATTGATGAAATTTCATTTCTTATCTTTGCCATGTGACTTTAACGTGATAACAGTAACAAACTTGTATAAAAGAAAAAAAAGCAAATCCTATGATTCTTATATATTAAGGTATATACTCATACTTCACAATATAGAAAGAAAAAGGATGAGCAAATACATCAGATTCTTTACATACAGATGAGTAAAAGTCATACGTGAAGGATTCCCATGTGACAATCGTTTTTTTTTGACTGATCATTCTCTCTCTCTCCTTGGACGTCCAGTATCCAAAATTTTTTTAGAAAGAGCTATTTGCTTAAATATACTGTTCTCTTTTGTATTAAAGTACTAATATATTTTTGATATAAGTGTTTTATTCGTAAATGAAGTGTCATAGAATTCTGAGAAGTTGCTCTTTTGAAAATGCTGATCAAAATCAAGTTGACTTACAAATTTCGTAAAAAGAATACTTAGAAAAAAAAACGACAAAAAGAAATCCGAATTAAGGTCTAGGTGTCTAGATACGTCGGACTCTTTCTTTCATCTGTTTTGTGAATGTCCTTTATAGAATTGTCAGTATCAAAGATTTGTCAAGTTTTAATGATATTGCAGAAAGGAACTGATATAACAAATTGTCTTTTGCGAGATTTTCAAAATTCAGTACATTCTGTTTTGGATCATCAAGCATTTTTTTATCAAAAAGGTTATAGATGTGAAAAGCATACAAAAAAATTATTAGATTCAAATAAAAGTTTCAAATTGTCTTCTGTTTTTATGTTTCTGAATCAATTTCAATATAGAAGCGTATAAAACTTTTAATTTTGCAAAAATAAAGGTGAAAGGAGGTCGTTAAAGCAATGAAATCATTCGCAGTCAAAATTAACTTTCATATGTCTTCAAAGTTAATTCAGATGTCAAAAGTTGATTGTCGGTCTAATTAGTCCATTAGCCCTCATTCCGACTGTGCATAGATGAATTTTTGGGTAAGACAACACTTCAGTCAGATGTACAATCAATGAATACTTCTATCTATCGTTTTTCTTTTCTCGACGAAGGACTCATGGAAAAGTTGTGATTCACAGAATATACAATGCATTTATGATAAGATATCAATGGTGATCTTTCTCGATATATATAGTGAAGTTCTTGCCGAAATATAAATGAACATAAAAATACAAGAAAAAAAAAACTGATGATTCAAGTGTTCATATCTCATCTAATGTTCGTCTTCGATCATCACTATTGTACACAGACACAAATACATCATCCTTCCATTCTCCATTCAAATTTACTTGACCATTTGCACCATATTCAATACCTTGTCCATTTTTCTTACCATTCGTCCATTGTCCTTCATAGCGACGCCCGTTCTTCCAACACATTGTTCCTTTACCATTTGGTTCTCTTTTCTCATTGATTTCACCAGTATATTTGTCTCCGTTCTTATAATGTATTGTATCTATTAAATGCGGCGGTAAGTAACTGACAGTAGTATTATTAATAGGAGTAGTAGTAGTCATAGAAGGAATATTTGGTAGTGTGATCTCGTTTACATTTTGTGTCAGAGCTGTAACTGGCGTGGTAGCTGTCAGTTCTCCATTGGGTACTAAAAGAGAAAGAAATCTTGAAGAGTAACAGTGTAAGAAAACCAGAAGGTCTCAAAATACCGATGCACCCGATATCCGCAGCAAGAAGGCGTTTTTCTCAAGTGTCGTATAATCGACCTGACCGCTGATGTAACAGGATTCTTTTCGAATCTATCTGTATCACTGTATTCTACACTCACCAAAGCATAAAATATCTTGAAAATGGTTTTTCATGAGCAATTAGGTTAAGTTAAGATTCAGCTTCTTAGATTTTGTACTCTAACCAAACACATTTTCCCAGTTCTTTCCGCGTACAAGAAGTTTCTTACCAGACTTTTTTTAATACTATAGCTAGTATTCAGGTACTAATCAAAATAGGTGTCAGTTAAGCATGCTGACACGTTTGCAGGTTTTTTTTTCTGTAGACCAGTTAAGTTGGTGTCTGGCGATGTTTCTCACCTCTTGATCAAGAAAGCTTTTCACTCAAACCGTATGGTATAAAAATGCGAAACACGATGGCACTATTTCGCATGAACATGAAAATGCTTGTGTCATTCTTCTCGATTCGTCAGAATGACAATGACAAATCATTCGTAAGTGTTTTCTGACGGTCTGTCATAATAGCTGCCATACTGCATCACGAAAAACAACAGAGATTTTTTGAAGTTCGATATTTCAAACCCAAAATTCGTCACACCTAGTTCCCAAAAACTTTAAAAATTATCAACTATATGATTAAAAACAATAAAAGTCCACAGTCGAAAGAAAGTATAATTGCATGTACACATGAATGTTACGATCTGTGACTGGGTCAATGAGTACGGATATCCGTGAGAAAGAACGAAGAGTTCATTTTTCTTGCTCTAAACTCGTTTCAATCATGTTCCACAAAGCTACTGTGTTACAAGATAAGGTGACAGACTTCCTTTCAACTCGATGATAAAAGTGGCAGCATCAAAAACTGAACATGTTTAGCAGATACGCAGCTCACTGTTCTCTTTAACTGTTCCAACAAAATATCAACAAATTCACAGCTCATATTATCTTATCAAATAAACTTCTCTTTTTTTTAAACTACACAAGCCACGCAGAACTTTCAATCTATGTCTATGTTCAGAGTAGTTTTATGAAACTAACGTGCTACTTTTACCTGCAGATAGGTCATCAGCAGTCACTTGAAAAATATCTTCTTCATCGTTGTCGTTTTCTCGATCATTCTCATCAATTTTAACGAATAAAATTGGATTTTCACTAGTAGTCTCATGTGGTACCCTTGACGAAGATGATAATCTTGTATTATTAAATATTCCGTAGTACTTTCGTTTTTCTTCTTTGTTTCTATTGAACAATTCATTTTTTAAGTCATCAATATCCGAATCGGATCGAATTTCCACTTTTTCTGGTTCATTATTGCCGACCTTTACCCAAACTTTGATGATAATAGTAATAGCAGCAGTCATACAGTAGAAGCAAAAAATAATATGAAGGAAATCAACAAGAACAAAATTAAAAATGAAAATAGAAACTGTTTTAAGCGTACGTAATGCACTCCGTTCACACAAAACAAGGAAGAAACAAAAAAAAAAGAATATTCTACGTAATGAAAGAAAAAGAATGACAAGGAAAGCGATCAGTGCTTCATAAAATTAGGGTCTGCATTGTTGTTGTCTTTTCACTTTTTTCAGAATAAGAGTGTGTTTGCGAGTTTCTTCCAAAAAAAGTGACGTTTTCCGTGATATTGACAGAAAAAATATCGATTTATCAAATCTTCATAAAAGACGTTCATTGGTTTTTGGCGTCAATGTATTATTGCAATCGGTATCATGCAAGGTCTTGCATTTTCTCAATGGCCAACGATGAAATTTGTTACAACGAACATATGCAGAGAAAAACTAATAGGAGAGATATGAATTTGTACGAAAAAGTTCTTAACATGAGGCAAGATTTAAATTATTTTATTTTTTTCGAATTTTTGAAAAATAATCAAAGAATTTTATTTCTAGCGTCCGAGTCAGTTGGGCCCGAATACTATATAACTCTATGCCACAGTGGGTGTGGGCTATGTTGTGGATGATGAAAAATCAAAACATCCACACTTCTTAGGGACATCAAAAAAATCAATTCAATCATAAGCTCGCTTTTATTATTTATTCAGCTGTCATTTCGAGCCGCTTTAGCTTTTTATAAATTGATGGCTGTCGTTTCATACATATACTGCTCTCTCGCCTGCATTGACTTTTTGACGTATCCGTGCAGGAAGAAAATAGCTTAAAAGCATTAGATAAGTTTGATCAGAACTTCAACGATTAGTAAGTATTAGTAAAAGATGCAAAAATAAAGTACGATAAGATGTATCGTAAACTACATTAATTGATGATAGAATAATCGTAAAGATATTTGAAACTAAATGAATCTATCTCCAATTCAATGAAATTAGTGAATTTAGTACTCGTGTTTAATGACGATATAGAAGTATATGCACTTGTTGATACCCAAAGCAACCCATAATAATTAATAGAAAGATAAACAACTAAACGAAAACATACCGACAGGAAAAAGATCATATAAATCGAATTAGTATCATTTCGCCAGACATCAACCTCATTATATACTTAAGTATCATGGTAACATTTCAGGCGATCAATGCCTATTAACATGAATGACAATATGAAATAATTCATAAACAATAGTGCACAAGGAAAAGTACATAATTGAAGAACTGATTTTCATCAAACAACACACAAGATATGCTTTAATGCGAAAAATGATTATTTTATTGAATATCTTTTTTTTTCAGGGATAGATAAAATAATATATCTAACATCATTTCGAATAAATATACACAAACAGATACCAAGTAAAAAGAAAATAATACATTTACAAAAGATATTGCATTATGTTATAAGCACACTACCGTTTGTTCGGTTACTTGTTGAATCATCTAAAAATAAGTAAATGTTCATAGATATAATAAGTAAAGACAATATTTACTATTAATGGAACAGGTGTTCGTTTTGATTGTCTTTTTGATTTACGTTTACCAATTATATTATTAGCTGTTTTACAATAAGCACCATTTCGAGTTTCTATAATGTCAAATGATGAGTTCGGTGTTGATGTCATCACCTAAAAAATAAAAAAATAGGTAAACATATTTTTTTTTACAATATTTCTTTATGTATACTTTTATTTGACCATGAATATTTTTCATTGTATGTAACAGTGAAAAATCAAGAGCTTGATCATCAGTACGTGCAGGTGGATGAACAGTTAATGTAGTAGCTGGTCTTGGTGGTGATGCATGTGACAATGGTGGAGGACGTGGTTTAGCTCGTTTTGTTTGACATTCAGTTTTACTAGCTACTTTAGTTAATAGCTTTCTTCCCGTCGTAGTAGATGGCGTTTTAACAGGACGACGTGCTGTGGTAACAGCAGTCGGCTCTTTATTGGCTATACGACGAGGCTAAAAATTCAAGTTACACGTATCGTACGTGAAAATACTATTGGTTTTATAATATAATGTGCTCCACTGTTCTTTGAATTATTTTTTATGAGAACATCATGAAAACTTGCGGTCATTAAAATTCGATCGGTCAGGTGGATTCTTGATGGAGATTTTCGAAAATGATCTTGGGAATTTATTTCCTTTCGATCTTCACAAGGCTAACATTTCGAGCTTGTTCGATTGAAGTTATACGACTTTTTCTAAAAGCTCCGATTTCAGTCAATGCACCTGTGAACAGTTGGGAAAATAGTGAGGTGGAGGTAATTGGCCATAATGAGTTGAATGAAGCTATTAGTTTTTAGATTCGAACTGCTTTAACACTTCCGAAATATCGACTCCTTCGTTATATGAAAGTTGGTTGTTGAATTTCAGAACTCTTGACAAAACAATGTCGGATCACTTCGACCTTAAAATAAAATTATTACCATAGAACTCGGCATAATGAATTAGTTTTGTCCAATGACTACACTTTAATCAGCTGAAATTAAGGATCTCAGGAAAACCCTAATAACTTTGATGAAATGAGCTAGGAATGTCAGCTTTATGTAGATTCAACTGAAATAGCTTCACAATCTCGTTTGTGAAAACCTTCAACAAACACCAGTAGAGCATAATTATATTATGAAATGTATAGTAACATAGAAAAAGACGTTTCAACGTACTGTAGCGGCTGGTGTTTTTGATCGAACAGGTGTAAGACCAGAAAGTTGTGTTGGTACCGCTATGTTTGCAACCGTTTTGGTAAATATAGACGATGGTAGAGCAGAAGCTGGTATCTGATGATGAGCTTCATCAAATTTTTGTCGAATAGGTATATCATCAATTAAAAATGTTGGATCATTATATTCCGATAAAACATTTAAAAATTGTTGTTCAATTTGCGGTAATTCTCGATGAAATTTTTTACGTTTACGTCCTTCAGCTTCAGCATTATATCCACGTGTATGAAAACGACCAGGATCAGTTGATGCTTTCTAAATAATTAGACAAAAAAAAATCAATATATAAATAAATATCGAAAAATTCAACAAATATACAGTAAAAGCAACAAAATCATTCCAAAATGAAAGCCATTTTTCATAAGCATCAAGAATTGGTTTACGTTTTTCATAGAGTTGATTAATACGTTCATATTCAGTATCATATGCATCGAGTATATCTGGTGATAAAATTTCTATTCAAACAAAACTAAAATATAAAATAAATTGAAGACAAACTTTCATCTTACGAGAATCAAGTTTATTAAGAATAATTCGTTCATTATTTCCTAAATGTGCTTTTTCTAATAAATTAACAATTTGTTGATGAATTGAATGTCGATATTCTTCTCCATTTTTCATTCGTTCTTCACGACAACATGCTATTTCATGTTCAAGCTAGATATATTTCATTCATATATTTTAAGAATTAAATTTTCTTTTATTTACTTGTTTAATAACAAATTTATTAATATTTTCACTACCAGTTTTATAGATTAAACAATAATCTTTTTCTGGATCTTTATTTAAACGTTCATAGAGATGACCAAGTTGATTATGTAATACAAAGAAATGAGCTTTTTGTGCTTCGATTTGAGTTTCCAACTAGATAAGAACAAAAATCAAAAGATTTCATTGAAAAAATTTACGAAAATCTTACATCATGTATTGTATTTTCAATTTCATTGAGACAATCAGCCGTAAGACAACGATCAAATTGTTCAAGAAGAAGAAATTCAACAGTTGATGATGTTGATGGTGTCCATTCTAACTGTTCAGAATATTCTTTTAATTTAAGATAATATGATGAAACTTGACTAAGACGAAGTTCCTATAATTAATATAAGTTTTGATATAAATAAATGAATCGAGATTTTTTTTTTTTTTTACAAACTTTTAAGTCACTAAGCATTTTAATATGATCTTGAATTTTTTTATTTATGTCAACAAGAGACATTGTAATATCTAAACGAAAAATTTGTTTTTTTTTTTTAATTCTTCTATCAAATAAAAAGATAAGAAGACTGACTTTCATCGAATTCAATTGGAGAACTATGAAGTAATGTACATAATTGTTTTTGCTTATTTTCAAGTTCATTTCGTTCTTGAATTAATTGACCTTCATTAATTAATAATTCTTGCATTTTTTTATCAATATAAATTTCTTGTTCTTTTAATTTTAATTTATCAAATACAGATGTCTTAATAAAAAAAAAGAATTAATATGAAATGAAAAATTGAATACATACATCAATTAATGATGAAAGACCTGTACGTGATATTAACTCTTCATAATCTTCAATGGATTGTTTAAGTAATTTTTTTCGTTTATTTAATTGTTCTTTATATGTTAGTAATTTATTATCAAGTAATTTCTAAGAAATGAGAAATTTTTACAATATAAATAATATTCAAAATAATTTTATTCAAGTTTTACTCGTGTATATTCTTCAACTTTTGCTGCACGAGATGTCCATTGATGTTCACTAAAACCAAATGAAGACCATAGACGATACCATTCAGTACATATTGTAGCATGATCAAGTGCAATATAATTTTCTTTATTCATATTTATGTGCAATTCACTGAAAAGAAAACGAAGAATAAAAGAATATAATGATGAAAACAATACATACGATGTAACTTTTGCAGCTCGACGAAGAGATTTTTTCCGTGGTTGCGGCATTTTATTTGAAAATTTCAAAGCGATAATGAAACAAATCAAACGAATAAAAAAAAAAGATGGCAGGATATTGACGGTCGTTAGCGGTCTTTATCTCAATGAACCAATGATACTCACTCTAAGAATAGTACTTAACTGCATACGACATCTATACACAAAACATTAAACTTAATTCTTCATTTTTTGCTCAATGCACGCTCCGTTTTTACATTCAACTTCAGAATTAACTGAAGGAACTCTCTCCTGAGACAAAGTCAATTTCGAACAATTTTATCGGTTTTATGATTTATAGCT